TGAATAACTGATGAGTTTGACAAATAGATAAAAAATCTATCACACGTAATGCAATTTCCATGTCGGTCATCGTGTCCCACTGGTATTCATGAATAAATTCTTCAACTTCATCACTGCCACGGCCTTTCACCTTACTCTCTGCTCTTATCTTCACCAGTGCCTTTTTCAGTGCTTATTATCATTCTGTACTGGTTAATCACCCGACTGATCAGTTTGCTTGCGATGTTCAATTATATATCCAACCGAACTTCAGAACTGGTGATAAAGCATGAGCTTTATAAGCTGCCGTAAATGCGTGTACGTTTCTTGCTGTGGATTAGAGCGTCTTTTTCGCGACTGGCAGCTAGGAAAAAACGCATTTGATCTGACTTTCTGGCCTTCTTTCCCTATTCACTGCACTGAATCTCTGTATGCTGCTGCAGCATAGACGAGAAAAACTGCAGAAACAAGACGCTTAGGAATTGTTTGTTGAAGGCCAATTGTTTTGATTACTTAATATTGACGGAAAGAGCGCGACATCAGCTACGAAAGCTCGAAAGGCTGCTTCAAGATACTACTAGAGTGAAAAAATTCCATAGAATTCAGAACTTGGCGGTTTCAGATATGTTTCCTTCTGAACTGTTGTTTTCTTCTGAACATCACAATTACGACGATTTGGACATATAGTCAATATGCTACAGTAGACACAGACAATGCGAAGTTTGTTTTAAAAATCACGTGGAAGATTGCCCAGAGTAGACGGCAGACCAGCGACTCATTTAGGTAGAGAGAGCACAGTAAATCCTTGGAATCCGGCCGATATGCAGTAATAGTTAATATAATTATAGAAAAACCAGGATCAGCAACCCCCTCCACCGAAAGGAACGACAGACATTAAATCGAATGAATAATATTGCTTAGTCATTCCATTCTCGCACGTACATAATGATTTTGGTTTTAGCTGGAAATTAAACTCGGCGTCCAGTATATGTCGTTCAGTGCACATGCTGATGCGAAAGGGATTCTGCAGTTAATCAAGAACTGCCAACCGAAGCATGTGATGTTCGTACACGGAGAAGAGTCTAAAATGGAGTGCATCAAGCTGAAAGTGGAAAAAGAGTTTAGTAAGTTTTCGTTCGTATCCTAGCAGCGTTATGGTCAGGATTAACAAAGGACTGTTATGATCAGAGTTTACAGACATTGCCACGATGTTTGGATCACATGATAACTTATTTAGACATTCCTGTTTTCAAGCCAGCAAACGGCGAAACCATTACCGTGTATACGAAAACCGACCTGTTGGCAGATGTTTCGAATGGGTTATTGTCGTACAGCAAAAGTTTGGACATGACCCCTTCCAAACGAATGTGTCCGTTTCGTGGCACGTTTATATTCACCGAACGTGAGTCTTCAATGACGGTAGTTTCGCCAGAGGAAGCGCTGAAGAGGATCAATCGGAAGCGACTGATTTTGTCTTTTACCTGTCAGGTGCCGTTGCCGGAATCCGTCGAGCCGACGAGCGTCTTGGACAAGGTGGCGCGTATTGTTACTCAGTACGAAGGCTTAATGCTTCTCGCGTCGTGTCTTGAATCTAACGTGTTTATTTTTTCAGGCGTAGCAGTTCGTTGAGCTACGGAATTGACCTGGACGACAATACCATCAATTTCAACGACAAGGTGTTTGTTAAAGCTGTTCCCCAAAAAAACATTTTGGAAGTGAAGTGGCAGTTTGATGACAACGAGATTGGAAATACTATACTGCACTATCTTCGCGCTGCTAACTTGGTAGGCCTCTTTGCATAATGTTCTTGATGTTTGTGTAATAATGCTTCGTTGGCAGGAGGTGTGAAAGTCAGCGAAACCGAAGGGAAACTTTTGCTACAGCAGTTCGACAATTTACGGTTTACTCCCCTTCAGAACGGAATCTAAAAAGTTGACGCCTATTGGTTACTTCCACCTTGAAAGTAGACAGTTATCGTCACGTTTGTAGATATGTATGTCTAAAAACCGCGCATACAGCTTTGCGATGAACAGACCAGAAAATGAAGCACACCGTTCCTTTGCCGTTTAAATGCGACTGAATGAGATCATAAGATTCAGTAAATTGTGTGTACATAGTGAAAACTGAAGAATGTATAAAAACGGTTTATTTCTACTCAAGGCAATCCCGGTAAGTTGATCAATTAGAAAATTGACCAGTACGGATGTTTCGAGCCTTCTTCAAGGTGGTCTGAGTTAAACTTCGCAGTTGGTTCAGTGACCCGCAGCTGTTGTTAAGCTTGGATCCCAAGGTGTGATTTTGGCCCATACTGATGGTTACTTGATAATACTTGTCTAATCCGTGCAGAGTTTGTAGACGTTGTATCGGTTGACATTTGAGGTTTTTTTGAGTCGTCTGCTCAGTCAGTTTCTTCAGCGATCTAATCTTTCGGGGACGTGACGTTTTTGTGCTGCAAGATACCCGAAGACTTTTTACACTGTTTTTTGATCTAACTTTTTAAGGAGGGTTTGTTTCCATTCTGGATTGTTTGTCGCTTGTCGTTCACATTCGTTTGCGATTATCCATTTTGTCCAATTTGACAACTGGTTGCTTATTCATTGGATGACGATGTCCCTGGTTTCTCGTATGTAGTATTTTTCAAGATAGTTTGTAAAGCCAACCTTAAATGTTGTTGTTATAAGAGACAGTTAAAAAGTCTTTAGTTTATTGAAGCTTTTATATATAAGCATATTAAGGCAACTTTGTGTGATAAAAGTAATTACCCTAAGTTAGTTAATAATGCCAAAATTCTGCCTTATGGATGCATTAATTTTATCAAATAATTGAACTGTTAAGTTCTGCGCTTTTGAAATTTTCGACTCGATAATTCATGCAGAATAGCAACAAAATATTTATTGCTTAAAATAATGAAAATGGCACTTCTCAAGCAATCTGGACGCTAACTGTTTGTTTGCCAGCGTATCTACTTGCTAAATGTCGTTCACCCTTGATGAATTTTGCGTTTTTTTGTAAGAAACCTTATCAGTGGTCGAAATGCCCCATAACTCTGACACTACCATCGCATTGCCCGTGCTTGCTTATTCGCCTGGTTCTTTGCATACTAACATTTTGCGGTTAACTCATATATCTGTGGACAGTTGTAATACCAGCAGTCAGTCCATGAGCTTGACGATTTTTGACCTTGTCCCTGCAAAAGAACCGAAATGAGGGCATGACGCTGTTCACGCGAAACTTTACTATCTTTTATGCGTTGGATGAACATCGGAATTTAACCTCGGCGTATATTTAGTTCTATATATGTGGCTGGCTAGCATAGGGCTTCAGTTTGAAACTAAGAATCACAATACCCTTTTCAGGGTGAATATTCAACAGAGGTAATTCTTTAGATTATACTTAAAACGAATACATCAAAAAATGTAAGGCGAAATTGCAACAGTAAACATGCCCTGACTTGACTTCACTGAGATAATGGAGAGTTGCACGAATTTAAAACAATTCGCTATCAAACATGCAGTCATCAATTCAGTTCAGTTGGCTCAATGACAGTAAATCGTTTGAGCAAGTCTCTAGAAGCAATCAAAGTATAAGACATTCGCTTTCAGGATTGGTTACAAGACAATGAGCAACAGTAAATGAGATTACGAGGTGATCAGTTAAGTCGCCAACAGTACCGGTCGTAACAGATCTTTCAATTTATACAGGTTGATATAATTCAGGTAGATCACTCGATATTTTCTACCAGAAGTGCGATCCCTTGACCACCGCCAATGCATGCTGATCCAATCGCGTATTTAGCGTTTTTGCGTCTAAAGCAGGTGTGAATATTAGCAGCAATAACTGATACGCGTACAAAATTTAACGCTCATTATCCTTATGGACCTATAGATATTAGCACATTAAATTCTGAAGACAAAAGTTTTCAATGCTGTTTTGTGCATTGTGGATAATGAGCTTCCATAGCAGAATTTTCATATTTAATGCCGTTTCTGTTATTACAAAATTACTGCTTGCGAATGACACTGATGAAATTTTCTCTGCCAAAAGCCCTGTCAGTTACATTTACTTCATTGGCTCGTATAGAAGTTTAAAGTTTTGTTAGTGAACCCTAAGCTGAAACGTGGAATATCTGCAAGTACTGTATCGCGGCTGAAATGATTGAATTCTTTAAATGATTGATTCTCTAAATTTCGTTGGGGTTGCATTCACAAAACATATCTTCAAAATTTGGAGGACTGGTAATTCGATATGCAAACTCCAGTGTTGAGTATCGCCGTGTTGTGATGCAGAGTATGGAAACGTTCCAGAATTTGGCCTGGGTTCGTTTCTGTGGGAGATGAAAAACCAGTTGAAATTTGAAACGTAGCCTCTAAGCTATTATAGCTGTCTTAGCTTCTTATTGATGCACTTCCGTTGCATTTAATTGACCTGTGAACGTCATGTATAAAGAGGGATAACTGCTGATATTCTAATCGCAGAAGACGTGCCGTTACCGATCTGCCATATTTAGTATCAGTGATGGGATAAAACAACGTGTTCGAAATCAGACCTACGGGTCTCTTAAAATCTCAGAATTATAGCAGTCAGCTAAGACCCTCCCTTCCAAATTAGCACTAAAAATTTTTGACGCGAGTCTCACTGCGATATTCTCAGGATAGCCAACGATTCATACGTGAAATCTCGAAAGTTTGTGCCACCTCACAGAGGTCTAGGAATTTATACCGTTTGCATTAAAGATTGGAAGAGTCTGCGTGTATCCACCGAATTCACAGCTTAAAATGCGTGCTATAACGCACGGATTACTGCATTGTATAAGGAAAAAATTCTCTCCGGAAGCAGTCTGCCAATTTCTTTTTTCTCCAGGATGTGTGCTTGTCATCCGACCGACATTAGCCGAGTTTCAGCTTCCGCACGAGAAGTTCGCAGTCTCCAGTAAATGTATTTTATCCTAACTGTTTTTCTCATAGTGCCACCTTCCTTTTCTAAATCTCCTCACCTACTTTGCATCCATGTCCTCGGAATAAAATACAGTCAAAATCCACCGTTGACGATCTCAAGCACAGAGGAGAAACGACGACTGTGGAGTGGTATTCTGTAATACTTAGCCACCTACCCCTGATGACGTTGCCGCTACCGAATGCTTCACAGGCTCCGTCGTCGCCCCGGTTACCAAATGCTGCTGAGTTAGTTAGAGATCAGTCAAATTACGAAAGGCCAGAAATCAGAATATGCCTTACTTCTAGAAGTTGGGGAGCAGCGGCACGACAACAGCTACTGAATATAGACAAAACGACGAGGAAGATACCAATCAGCAACGGAGTCGCTATCCGCTCTGGCCGGCGTAGGCAGGCAAAGCGATGCCATTATAGTAAGTTAAATGAGGCGACACGGAAATAATGCCCACAGTAGGAGTTTACTGTAGCATTGGAACATCTCTTTCAGGTGGAAAAAGCAGAAGCTAGTTGATAAGGCCATAAAGTGCCAATTCGAAATAGTTGGATTTTCGTCAATAAAACACCAAGGCTCTGGAATCCTGAACCTCAGCGGGTAGAAGCTATTTTACTCAGGTGTCGACATCACGACGCGCGCTCAGACCGGTGTTGGTGCTCTGGTAGAACCCAGCCGAGCTGATAGAATTATTGAATCGAAGCCCGTCAGCGGGAGCATGGCAGTCCTCTGACAAGACCTGAAACAGTGGCACGGAGTTTGCATTATACAGTCTACGTTCTGAACAAAAAATGACGATGCACAATATTGACGAGAAGGAAAGCAGAAGAATAGTAAAACGGGTCTAAGAAGGTCTATGTGAGATCTATGGTTTAAGGTCTGATAGCCCACAGTTAAGATGACCATTTTTGGGTATAGTTCATTTTGCGCCAAACTCCGTTTTTAGAAAAAGGCACTCCTGCCTCACGCCACAGAAACGGAGATCAGCGGCGCATTATAAGGTTCATGAAATGAAGGATGACAGAAATGATTCGTGTTAGTGTCACGAAAGTGTAAGGGAGACTGACAGCCCAATGGTTACAAACTTATTTTTTTACGCTTTACGCGTTTATACGTTTTACGAAAACAAAGTACAATTCCCCTCTTCGAGGTTGTCGGGCGGTACCCCCCCCCCCAGTAATATACATGCACCAACGCTGCTGG